TTTCGTAGCGATTCTTAGCATACGCAGTGTAGTGTCCACCCAAGAGTCCACCCATATGATTGCTGACGGCAACGAGGTCATAGGTGTGTTCCTCTTGCCTTGAGTTACGTATTTTAAGGCCTCTAAAAGGGGTGATGATGTGCACTTACAAGTGGCTTTGCTCATGAGCCTGCGACAAAGGTGTATGAGTGGTAAGAACACAAGCGGACTCACTCTACTGGGAAATCCACGAATTCGTTGATCTTCTCCATAGGGAACACTGTACGGAATCGCTTTAGGTGAATGATGAGGACCTCAGGTAAACACCAAAAGTCCAATTTCTTGGATGCCTGTCTGGGCTCTGTGCACTCTTTGCAATACCAGGGACTTTGGGCACTTAGAGTTTCCTCGGTGGTAAACAACTCAAAGCAAAGATTCAGATCTAGTTTCTGATGGGGCCCATCGGTGGGATCGACACGGAAGAATCGCGATGGCACACTAACGCAGTGAGTTCCATCAACTGAATAGTGTTTTAATAGAATCATGCATTTATTTCGGTGAATTGTGATGGGGAGACCCGTAAGATGAGAAAAATAATAAAGTTTGCCCAGATTAAATAACTATACGAAGGCCTTCTACTAAATTGCAGCTTCAGCAATACAAACATCAGAAACTACCGGTCCAAATGGTCACATGGGTAGTGATTCTGACACTTGCTGTCGTAATGGATACTACACGAGGCTAGAAATCCTACACGCAGGGTTCTGTAGGTTTCCGGAAAGAAAACGGTGGTTGGATGATTGTTTTGACTGGCAGGTTTAGTCTGCGACAAAGGGACACAGTCATATCTTGTGCAGTTGTGTTCGCAGAATGGCAGCACTTTTATTAGGACCTTATGTAGTTGTGCGCGCAAGGTTTTCATACATTTTAAATTTTGAGGCGATTTATGAGTGTTTATACTTTTAAATAATACTACTGTACCTCTTGACATACTTTCACATTTTATAGCGGTACCCTATTGACATGTACTTGTAGAGTTGGTAGATCGTTTCGCCATTTCATTGAATTGCACCCTGTTTACATTACTTCGGAGACATATGCTGTAAACGTAGTTAAACCTGCAGTGAGTGCATATAAAACAGCAGCCAGCAACTGCGTCTATCTAGCCATACTACACGAGTTTGACACGCACCAATCAGGTAGTAATGTACTCTATCTGTAAGCAACACACATTGTACTTCCTTTTAAAATGTAATTTAGAAGCTAAACTTT